GATATGATGAACCGGGTCTTTTGAGATACCTGTAGTATCAGCTGTTTCAGATAACTTCAGTTGTCGATCTGTTAAAAGCCTATCATGTACTTTCACGACCATTTCCGGAGTAGTGACGCTTTTTGGACGTCCGGGGCGGGCTTCATCTTGGACACATGTACGACCGCGTTTAAACTCAGCCACCCAGCTTTTTACTGTGGTATAAGAAAGAGCACATTCACCCTAAGCATTATTTAACTCGTCATAGATATCTTTCCCCTTCATGCCCTTCATATGAAGAAACTTTAACACCGCTCTATGTTCAATTTTATCCATTTTGAAAACACTTGACGAAATATATTTTCAAATGACAAAAAATCAATAAAATTTTCACGCCACCAAATTCAAATTTAGAACACAAGTAGCCAGAGATACGAATTTAAAAATGACATATACATTTTTTAAATTTTAACTTTTTAAATAGTAGAGGCTAGTTACTTATCATCCCGCCCTCGTACATCAGAGACTCAGATGCGCTGCCTATCCTGGCCTGGATGGGCAGCCTTATGTATGTTACACCGGCTATCCTGTCCTTCAGACCGGAACACAGTATTACTGTTTTGCGGCAGAAATAGACACCTCGTAAGATGTTGTCATTTTTATTTATATTATACTAGATGACCCGACATCATCATTCTCCCGCCCTTCGCCCAGTCTCCTAGGGTCGGCGCAACATGTTTTCTCTTTCCATACTCTTCTATCATGTACCATTTCTGCGCTCACTCCCCTCTTACCCATATCGTCTTTCACACAATCCATCCATTTCTTCTTAGGTCTACCTCTTCCTCTATATCCTTCCGCATTCATAGTTAACACTCTCTTACCAACCTCATTTTCATTTAGTCTCATCACATGTTCATACCAACCCAAACGCGCACTTCTCAGCTTCTGTCACAGGTGCCACTTCCAGACTTCCTCTAACATACTGAATACGGACCCGACGTATACTGAATTTTTACTGAATCCGAAAATATCAAATTTTTGTTATAAAATTGTGAATCTATACTATCTCGAATTTATTGAAACACCCATAAAAAAATTAATCAAATTCAGTCCAGCTGTTTATGAGGATTTACTCTAGCATACACACAAAGAGAAGAATTTTATGTATTAAGATAATGTATCGTCCAATCTGAATTCCAATACTGCTTCGCTGTAAAAATGGGTAAGGTGGTGGGAAGTCACGATGCCCCACTACTACTTATTGTAATTCCCTCATCGAGGAGTTCTTCTGAGGGCACGTGTTATACATAAATTTTATTCATCGGCTTACTCGTTAGTCCTAAAAATTATCATTTCATTTTAAATAGAGGACAGGACAAAATATGCAATTACCGTGTTAAGAGTTTTTTTACACCTTTTAATATCAAACAAGAGCTAACCATACTGATGAATCGAATAAAATATGCACATAGCCCCGATGAATAAATAGAAAAAGTTTATTAACTAACGGACTTTTCATCAAGTCACATGCTAATCTACGGAATTAAAAAACATTACAGTACGAGATTAAGCTTGACAGTTTTTTTTTTCTGCTCCCTATATCTATTTGCCAATACCAATAAGCTTTTTGCGCTAGATTTTTTTCCCATCACTAAAATTAATTAACGCTGCGAATCTATTTAGAGCAGCTGTCAAAATCGTTCAGTAACCGATGAGTAACCGTTAATATTGACAGTCATCTTTGACTAACACCGTCAACTTTCACTTATGGATGGTGATGGTGAGTGAAAGTATCGTTCTAATTATTTCATTAACAAATCGTTAAATATTAGATCAGGATAGTAAAAAGACAACTTATGTTTTTTTTCCTACCTATTCTAGTAAGCTCGAGGGATTATTCTAGATTCACCGAGCTAGTAGGTGAGCTCACGGGGCTCAAACCGGGAGTGTTGCTAACACTGGCCCTAGCAAGAGCAGTGCTTCGCAGAATCTACCACCGGATCGGAAACGCGACCCATTGAGAAGATCCACCGAGAAACTCAGTGGGCTAACTTATGTTAACTGGCCACCTGTAATTATTGCCAAACAAAAATTTATTGTCCGGGCGCATCTGTTATAAGTAATTAGTGGTTCCCGGCTTTGGAGAGCGGTTATTCCAAGGTTAGGCTAAGGGTACAATCAGGTCGTTGCCTATCAAAACACGTCTAAGTGACAGGTTTAAAACGGACCCGAACATGGTAACAGTAGCACGACGGTAGCAAGAAAAGAAACTGGGGTACGCAACACCCCTGCCTGGTTAGGCAGAAAGTTCAGGCCTACTCAGTGTCTCCCTAATACGAAGCAGAATGACCCAAGTGTTTCTCTGGTGGTCCAAAACAGGGACTTTTTACATTTGATTCAACTAGGGTTGATGCGGAGGACACTTTTTAAATTATTTAGGTTCTCGGGTTGTTTGTTCCCTACCCTTTTTGTAATGACTTCCTAATGAGCTAGTTAGTTACTTGAAATTATGAATAGATTTTGCATAAGAATTATATTGCAGAAAATTCAGAGGAAGAAGTTATTTTTGCCGTTTTCTTTCGATGTAAAAATCTGATATGTTGATGAACCCATTTTCCTATTTACTTGTTAACGCAATATAAACTACCCGGCACACCTATAAAAGATGCCAACTCATTTAAAATTCAATATTAATAAATCATGAATTTAATAGCTGATGCAGGAAATGAGAATTCGCAGACACAAAGCCAGTGGAATCACTATCGCGGTGGCGATTTGCCAAAATGATAAGTCACGGGCGACATATAAACTACTCTTTGGATTAAAATACGTTTATCGATAATAGTAAAATCATAGTCACGTGTGATCACGTGGATTCTTTGTAGTCAGCTATTCTGAAATAATACAAGGTCATTGATGATATGCTGCAGTTATCTAATCTCGATCATCATCACTTCCAAATTGCCGAGGGTCGTAACCTTCGAACTAAAACCGAACCTTTCAGGAAATTGAGCGCCATCCGAACTTAGAGTGCACAATGGACGATCGACTGTTACTATTCTTGTTACTACTTATCATCCGAAAAGCAGTCACAGAACAGCGTTCCGTATTCACCTAGAAGGCTGATGCAGCCACGGCCAGACGGGCAGGTGAGCTCACGGGCTCAACCGGAGAGAATTTGCTAACACTAGCTCTATTAAGAGCAGTGCTTCGCAGAATCTACCACCGGATCGGAATCGAGACCCATTGAGAATATACTCATTCTTGGCTACTCACTTAATTCTTAGTTACAATCTGTGACCTTGCTCGTTCACGAAGCCCGCTATAGAAAGCAGAGTATTATATACACTTGACACTTGACATTGGCGAAATCTAAAAGGAAACGCCATAAACCCAAGAGATAGATAGATAGAGAAGATCCGCCGAAACTCTGTGGGCTATGGGTTAGTTCGCTCGTCGCACTCTTTGTCGTGATCGACGAGGACGTAAATTTTATTGTCTTCGGTAGGTATTCTTCGTATTAGATCGTTTTCCTTAACGCTCACTAGTTTAGAATTGCGACGCTCATTTTCACTTCTATACGGATGATCTTGCAACAAGAGTTCTTGAGAAAATACAATTTAATTGATTGGATTGTTTTTTAGTTTGGAACGGCGACGATTATAATAGGTTGGGGAAAAAGCATCCTCGCATTTTTTAAGAAAATTCACAACATTTTTTAATACAATAATATACATTTAACTAAAGTATGTAGGTACCATTTTGTTCGATAGCTTTTTGCCTTCTTGTAGGTAAGGACATGGTCCCATTGCTATAGAAATTTTGGCGTTTCTGATCAAAATACCGCGACAATTGGTTTTGGCAGTCCTCTCGTAATGTTAACCTGACCTGACACTGCCTAAAGAATTCTGAAGAGACCGAAACAGGTGGAAATCTGAAGGTGCAATCGCATGTCAATAAGCCAATAGGCCACAATTCAGTACAAGAATGTCTTAAAAATTGAACTCTCACTATCGTCTTAGTAAATCTATATAACAAACGAACAAAAATGGCAACGGACTTTCTTAGTGATTAGTTACGTTACCAAAATCAGGTGGCCATTTCCCGAAGCAACTCTAATTCTCAATTCCCATGAGGGATTTCGAATTTATTATGGACTAGCGATTCGTGCGTGCGTATTTAAAACATCTAAATTCTATTTATACCTTACTAAACCCAAATTCTTAAAAGTTTTTTTTATTTTTTTATTGCTGAGATGTGTGGACGACCTCATAGCCCACCTGGTGTTAAGTGGTTACTGGAGCCCATAGACATCTATAACGTAAATGCGCCACACACCTTGAGATATAGTTCTAAGGTTTCAGTATAGTCACAACGGCTGCCCCACCCTTCAAACCGAAACGCATTACTGTTTCACGGCAGAAATAGGCGGGGCGGTGGTACCTACCCGTGCGGACTCACAAGAGGTCCTACCACCAGTAAGAGTTATGATAGGTACTTATAAACTCGCGACGTATTTTGAATAAACCTCATTTGTGCATAATCAATTTCTTCGAATGAAATCGTTTAAGATATTAATGTTATTGTTAATGAATATGATATGGGTGCAAAATCTGAAGTAAATAAACAAATATTTGAAGAAATTACGCGAGTAAACTTCCCAGACGGTGGACGAGGTGATGAAAAGCGCGGTTATCAACTAGATACGAATAGCGTGTTATTATGGCGAATCTTGGCACGCCTGTTTCTAGTAGGACACGTCCCCTATATGTTGATGAAGATTAATTTAATCATACCGGTTAACTGTAATTTAATTATACTAATTATAGAAGTAGACCTTTACAAGCACTTTCAGTTGGTCACAAATTTACCACCAATTCGTAATGCTGTTTCGACAATGAGAAGAATCGGTAAACAGCCCTGGATTTAGGTATTTTGTAATACGTGTGTGTACATAAATATCTATACACAAAAACATACCAATCATTCGATATAAAAATAATTAAACCAAAACTCACCTGTAAAGTTTCTTGGGAAGGACTTCTCAGTTTTGGCCATTTTCTGCAGACTTTGGAATGACTTTGTGTTCTGAAACCAATAAAGCACTAGATTAAAAGTTTATAAATAAAATACATAGTTTTATGGGGGTTTTAGTTGAGACATCAATTTCTAAGACCTCATTTCTTATTTTAACCAAAGTACAAGATAACATTGATTGCATATTTCGGCGAAGTAACGACGCCTTTTGGTCTAAAAGCCTCGTCGTCTTATGCCTTAAGATAAGTCTTTAGACACAAGCTCAGGGGAATAGGTATTCAAAAGCTACATTATCAATAAGCTACAAATAGGCATAACGATTCGGCGATGCTCTAGTAACGAACCACAAACCTATCAATTGACTTTACGACATGGGTCAGCTAGAAGCTAGAAACTACTATAGAACATATTTTTGTAGGTCGATTTGTTTTGTTTTTCTAAGCATGTGGATATTTTATTAAATTACTTACTCTATTAAAATGGAAGACAAAAAACAACATAACAAAAGATGCCATGTTCCTTCCAAAAAGTACCCCCCCCCCACCTACTCAAAATCTCTTGCCAATAAAAATTGAATACAGTTACACTGTTCTTCAATATTGACATGAGTATAGACGATTTTAATGGCACCACAATGAAAAAAGTCATAGCCCCGTTCACAAGTTAAACATTGGCTCATTTGTAAATTTATTTAGCACGTTCATTAGTACAATGTTCGAATAAGTATTTGACACTTGGGTTTTAGTAAGTCTAAATATAAACCAATGAGAAAACTCTTTGAGATTACGAGGTTTATTATTCTTGTACTTAGGCAGACGACCTCATCGTGAGCGTGGAGATAATAATTGCGGATTCGAAATACGAGGCCGAAGTAGCAATGACGCCGGATTTTTTTTTTATTGCTTAGATGGGTGGACGAGCTCACAGCCCACCTGGAGTTAAGTGGTTACTGGAGCTCATATACATCCACAACGTAAATGCGCTACACACCTTGAGATATAAGTTCTAAGGTTCAAGTAAGTTACAACGGCTGCCCCACCCTTCAAACCGAAACGAATTACTGCTTCACGGCAGAAATAGGCAGGGTGGTGGTACCCACCCGCGCATATTAAAAATTGCACTACCCTTCAAATCGCAATAAAAGAATATAAAGGCATGTTGATATTAGCGGTCTTAGTAGTAGTAGCAGTAATTTGACTTTTTGGCGGGAACGCGAGGAGTGAAGTTGTGTGATTTATTTTATTTTGTCTATTTAGTGTTTCTTCAGGTTTAAATGTGTAATAACGATGGTTTATTAACTGTTTCGTATCTGTGAAAATGCACAAATGTGGGAAAATCAAACAAAGCCGCTGAACGTAACTTCTCAGGAAACTCCAAAAAGTCCACTGAGAAAGTCCCAGTAAATGAGCACCATTTTACTGAGATTATTATTTCATACCATATAATCTCATCTCATTTCATTTCATTAACTTGAAAAACAAATAATTCGTTGAATTTTTCTTGGATCAACATTTGTCAAATTGTATCCAAAACATAAAGTTGTTTGCGAAATGCGTAGAATAATTTATTTATGTATGTGCAGGCACGAGGTCAACCGATCGACTATTTGCGTCAAAGAGAATTCAATCGCTAAGTTTTAATTTGCCTACGAATTTTAAATCAACTGAATATATCATAATGACAAGCAAGACGTCAAAACGACACCCATCAAAATTGAGGTTGACATTTTGAATTAATGGCGTACAAAAATGAGATCGCCTCAATCATTCCGGTCAAGTATTGTAACAGAAATTTCATGACGTACATTTTGCTTCTTTTTTTTACTAAGCGATATGTATGTGCTACACTTTTTACATTATTAGCGGTTCAATAGCACTCGAAACAAGTCTTAAGCATGATCAAACTGTACACCAATCGCTAATTATATTACTATTACACGTGTGAAATTAAGAAAAAAATTATCTTAATTTACCTCGATAGCAGAAACAAAAGGTTGGTTGTATTTTTTTTTATTATTGCTTTTATACGATTTCGCGCGTAATTTCCTTGTGCCTTTCGTGAGGTCTTGACTCTAACCTATATTTTGTAGATGAATTATTATTATTTAAAGAAATAATTCTGCCTTCATTTATCTTTATCATGTTAATTATCGAAGTTGTACGTTTAACCAGAACGGGGAAACGAACTTGAGAGCTCATCCGGGAGTTCTCGAAAGAGACCTAATAGTTCAGCAGGTACTTCGCGAGTGGATCCGACGAAAAACTCAGCGGGCACAACCCTAACATGAAGTAATTAACATAATATTAAGTGGTTTTTTTCATTTCAGACATAGATTTAAGTATTTTTGTGTAAAATCCTATAAAATACCAATCCTGTTGTAAGCTATTTGAAGATTAATAAGTTTAAAATAACTCTCCATCACGGCGAATGTAATCCTTGATTTAATATGCAATTACGCTCAGAATTCCGTATGCAGGTATTATAAAACCACCGTTAAAGCCAAAGAGGCGGGCGACAGTCGGCGCCAGCCTCTAACGGACCGCGCCAATGCCTTTTAAGGCTGAGGGAGAAAAAAAACGAAGCCACACTTTAATTAGCGACCAAAGATTTGTTATTCCGAGTCAAGGGTAGTTAAAACAAGATGAAGTACAGGTTATTGAACTTTCTATATATATTTTTCTTTTTCTTAGAGCTGTTTGTGGAAAGTTTCCTTGGTAATTCAATGTTTTTTTTTTTTAGAATCTATATTATCTACATCGTTTTTATAATCTGCATTTTTAAACAACCAAAATCCAATCAAAAAGTTGAATAGTTCATGGAAGACTGACTATCCTTGATAATTCAGTGAACAATGTTCTTAAGATTGTATTTGTATCGTTTTTAAAATCTATATTTTTTGAACTAGCAAAACGCATTCGAAGAGTACCTACATATTTAATCGTCAATCTAACCAATTAATACCTAATTTAATAGTCTTGTACGAGTAAAAGTACTTCATGTTTTTTTGTTTTTAAATTTGAAAGTAAGGCAAGGGTTTACGTTCCAGTCAAAGATTAGAATTACCTAACGTACACAGAGCTATTACAATACAATGATTAATTTACATGTTCAATACAAACGCGCGTTGGTATGCACCTCAATCAAGTATCATTGTTTTTTAATTAACTTTGTTTGATTTTCGACAGACAAATATATAAATGGGCACATTATCCCACATGGTTGTATGGCGCAAACCAGGATCCCCTGTACCGTGGGAATCGAACCTACCACGGTACGGACATAATGTTTATAAAAAGAAATTATTAATTTGTTCACATATGTCTCATCACATATTCATTCGTTATTTATAGCATCAATACTTAAATAAAATAATAGAATCCGGTGTGACAGTGCATTAAAAATAAATATAATTAATCAAAAGTTAATAACTAAAGAAGTTCAATAGAAGAAAAACCAGTGATTTTTATAAATATTTATGTCTATATGTTTGTTCTATCTGATTCTATCTGAACACATCTTAGGTTAAATTTCAACTTTGTATTATTAAAATATGATGTTATAAAAAAGCGATCATCGTTTCAAGGTTGTTGGAATACATTTTACACTGGCAGAAATTCGTTGCAAATAAAAATATATATATGTAATCCGAAACTAACTCTGTTTGCCTCTTACGTCTTCACGCCCAAACCAAAAACACGACTTTGAATTCGGTCTGGAAATGTTCGTCCTGGGAAAGATGATAGGGTGGCCTTCATCCCATTGCTAAGCCCCTGATCTCTGACCACGTGATGTTAAATGGCACGCGGGCGAAGCCGCGGGCGATAGGTTATTAGTTAATCTCGTATAACAAACGTAATAATTCTTAACGTTTTTTAGATTATGTTTTTTTTATGTAATTCTAAAAACTTACGTTTTCCGATCTAAAATGAATCAAATCTGTCGTTTTTAATACGAAGTTTTTTCATACAATAAAACAATAACATTATTCTACTACAGTGAATACGATAAATCAACTACTTTTATTATCAAGATGGCCGCAGCGAGCCGTGCGAAAAATTCGGGCTCTGGCAAAATCTATTTCAGCGCCGCCGTCTGGTTCAAGGTTATTTGGTACAAATCACCATTATACTGCGCATTAACACTTTAATATTCGATATACTAACGAAACGAGCAATATTTGCGAACTAATATTTATTTTAATTTGAGTACTATTCAAATTATGCGGTCATTTAAAAAAAAAAAACTTACGAGAAAAATTGGGTTTTTTGTTTGTTTGTGTGTGTTGGATTAACTTTTCAGGCATGGTGACATAAGACTCGTCTTTGTGTTTGAAATTCGTAGTGTACTCTAATTTGTAGCACCTTTATTGTCATTTCAAATATTTGAACGAAAATCGTTTTTCATTAAAGTTGGCTTTTCGGCTAGTGTGACGTAATCGCGTTCGCGTTAGAAATTCGCGAATGTTCTCTAGCTCGTGGAATACGGCGTGATCTCGTCTTGCATTAAGATTGTCTCTAAGCAACAAATATTTCTCAAGTTTCCAAAATGTACTTTTATTATTCATTCGGTGACCTACAGATTGATTGTTATTTTTATTCGTGATTCTTTACAGAAGTCAAATGTCACATGGTTAATTTAGACACAATCCTTTAAAAAAAAATGTATCATTTTATTTTTAGTAGATTAACATATTGTTATCTATAGTTTGAGGCACCACTAACCCAATGAGTTTCTCGCCGGATCATTTCAGTGGGTCGCGATTGCGATCCGATGGTAAATTCACTGCTTTTCCTAGGGCCAGTGTTAGCAAATTATCTGTCTGAGGCCTGTGAACTACAAAATCGGAGAAGCTGGAATAGCCCATTGAGGCTTCCAGCGTTTAAGTAGAGAAAAATTATATTTAAAATAAATTTTATCTATATCTAAAGCAAAGACAGCTAATGTTAGCTTGCATTTTTTTTATTTAGTATCTATTAGCATTTTTTTGTGTATTTTTTTTTCTGTTACAAGGGCTTCTAGGGCTTTCCTAAATTGTCTTCGGCCATAGTACTAAACGTAACCTATACGAAAAAAATCCAACTCTTTCTTGTCGAATGTACGTATCGCATCACCACTTTCTTAGTGTTTATAGTTCTGTTATAAGTGGAGCGTTTTGACTTAAAAATGTTATTAGCTTGTTAAACTTATTGTCTATTTTCTTTGAAATTTGTTTATAATTTTTCTCTAGTTTAGTAGCATATTTCACATAAAGAAACAACAGTTACAAAAGCCACAGATTTATAGTTTCTTTTTATAAAATACCCTAAACAAATTGACAGTGACGACTTATTTCACGTCATACTCTTTGAACTCATTCCGAATTTAAAACTAAAGACACAGTACACAGTTTGAAAAAAAAAAACTATCGCGTTAATTTTGAAGCATCGCTTACGGCAGCAGAATTTTTAACTAATATTTTTTTAAAACACAATTGTGCTGTATAAAAAACAATGTCGTTCTCGTAATAAACAAGTAACTTCCTAGTTTAACTTGATTCCACCGGAAGTTAGTCACTCAGCGCGGCTGTATTCATTTATTCACAGCTAATTTTCGTAGATTAAGGTTAGGTTAAGCATAATGCTCAACAAATAATATACTCGTTTTAACTGATAACAAAAGTATCCTTACTATTTTATGATTATATCGTTTTGGCGAACGGCTTATCGGATTCAAGAAAAATATCCGCCCTTCAAGATTATCACTACTTTGAAATTACAGTGTACTAGATACTAGGACAATCGAAATCTAGCCAAATAGATGTCTATAGCGCATAATACACCGTGGTCGATAGAACCAAACACAATTAAGAATAAATCGAAAAATATATGTAGTCTTTATGTTCTTTTAATGGACTTTTTGGCGAGATCGCGAAGATGCAATTTTATTGTTTTGTGACTCATTTTGTTTTCTTATTTTAATTGTACATCAATAGTTTAGAAAGTAAAATAGTGTAGGGAAATGAAAAAAATGATCGCTTAGAGGACACGTTCCGGATTCTTCCAAAAAGTACTGTTGAAAGCTGAGTTAATCTTCGTTTAGCTTTTCATTTATAATATTTCACATTGATTCATTGTAGGTATTTATTTCTGTTTCACCCCTTTCATTCCGATCGACATCATAAAGCAAAGAGATCGAGATTTGGCAAAAGAACAAGATTCCAAGCAATTAAATATTTTTAAAAATAAATACTTTATCTCTTTTTTTTTTAATTTTATATTACAGGTCATCAATAACTGCCTACTACTTACCTACAAAATGACGAAAATAAGCTCACAAAATATGTAAATGACAAAACCCTAAAAATACCGGAAACCTTAAAGGTACTTACTACGCTTGTTATCGGTACCTATTGTAAAATCTTACCAAGCACATTGGGTAACGTGGCAATATAATATAAGCTCGGACGCACACCATATGACGTTTTTGCCTAAAATGTCTAGACTTTTTTTTTTTCGTATTGAGCGATAGAACTATGTATCAGTTCCAATCCTACTCTAGCAAATATCGATTTTACTTTGTCACATTATTATGTAGATATGAAAACGTGTCTAACAAGTAATTAAAAGCTACATAATATGAGAGTTAGACGTCGTGGTGGTATGGTATTAAATAGTATTAAAGTTGGCGCGAATTTGTATACGTATTATATTTTCATAATTTTTGGTTTGTCGACTGATTTCAAACAAACAGTACAAGTTATCCGAAGCTTATCTTAATTAAGTACCCAATAAACCATAATAAAATTGGTCAAGTTCGACATACAAATGCACAAACAGATAAATGAAAGTGTAGTTTCAATTTCATTTGTTTTTTTTTAGTTATATAATTAGTATAGATTAATAGAAATGGTTTTTTTTTAAGTACATTAAGAGTACAATTTTACACACACTTTAAAAGTTACTAGAATGTGGAGTAGTAGTAGCCGGTCGGGAGGACCGTGAAACACGGCCAATGAAATTATTATCCACAGATGCTAAATTTTATTAAATGTGGCTGCTTTTATTTCGAACACAATCACCCAATTAGAATTCCATGAATAGCTTACACTCTCACCAAAAAATTTTGGAGAGTTAAATTGATACTTGTAAGAACAAAATAACCGTCGAATACTCACAGTATTATTTTTATACACTTGATTCTTTACGATTTTCGGCACACTTAAAATACGATATGCACTATAAAAAGACTTACACTTAAATACCTATAATATAATACTTTACTAAAGCTACTTTAATTTATAAATTAAAAACTTAAAATTATAATGACACGAGATTTGAGAGTCGAGACGACGCACGTATAACACCGGCCAGCGCAGAAACCCGACTGATGCGACCTCGCGCGGCTTCTTAAGTAGAACTCAAAAGTTTAATTCAAAACAGGTCGTTCCGTTTCTCGTGCTCGAATACGATTACATTAGCATTACAAGTTCGTAACAATAAGGCGATTTCATTCATGCGAACAAATCAATCTATTCCATACATAAATTGGGAACGGATTATTTGTTATTTATTATTAACCTTTCATTACAAGAAAACAATTTTTATTATAATTTCAGTAATACAACTGTTGCAAATAAGTATAAGTAATACAAAATGTTTTTTTAAGTAGATAATCGAAAACATTTTGATTATTTATAGAACGAAATACAAAGATTTACAACAAATTTACAAAGTTTTTTTTAAAATTAAAAACAGGAAAATTTACTAAATTTCTGTCTTTTTTTGACAAACTGACAATTTTTGAATTTTGTCTGAGAAAGTAACGAATTTTAAACTACCTCCATTTAAGTTTGTTCAACATAATAAGTACACACTTTTTCAATACTTTTAAAATCTTTCAAAGAGTCACTTCGTGAAGTTGTTCTGGTATAACCACAGAATTTTTATATATTTATAGTATTTTCTTCAATAATGTACATTTAGACAATCAATTTTATTCATGCATTGATATTGATTGATAAATATATTGACTATAATATAATAATACATATTATTTTTAATTTATTCAAAATTTATAATGGCTACGACCAATTACTTAACGGTAAAAACGCATTTATCAGAATTTAAAACAGACAAAGATGCATTAAGTGAGGTGAGTGACATAAAAACACTTAAAACAGTATTTTATTATTTTGAAATTATAACATTTTATGTGTATCTAAGAACAAATGTATAGAATGCACACTTATAATAAAATATTCTTACTCTTTTAGTCGGCACAAATAGTATTTGTGTGTATGTATGTTTCTTATTTATTTGGAAACACGAATATTTAGCAATCCGCCATTTTGATTTTAATATTTTCAAATAATTCTTTCTATAATTTGTTATGACGCCGTTTGTCACTTTTAAAACTGTTATCTGGAAATTCAACGAAATCAGTTCAGTTAAATGATGGGGAGTATTCAGTTACTAAATATTCTGTTAGGCGTCAGAAAGCGGTACAAGTAACTCGGTGACGTCAGCGGAAGACCTACAAAAATTAGCCGTAATACTCGGTTTGAATAGTGCCGAGGATGTCTACCAAGAGAGATTTCGAGTTGACAGACGACGCCTTGAGGCTATGTTGGGTGGTAAGGAAATCAAATTACTTACAATTTTTTTTATAGTAAACTGATTAGCATCCCGGCCATGATGTAGGTATCTTCATCTAATTCGAATGGTTCCGTTTCAAGATCAATTCCTCACAATTTTTTCGGAAAAAAAGAATCTTTACCAAAAGCATTATTTATTTTAAACAGTCCCGAATAAAAAACTGGAACTATGCAAATGATGGATACTTCAAAGAACCGTAACAAAGAAGATCTGAGGTACCACCTTAGATTTAATTTATAACTGACTGGACCGTCACGATATTAAAACACAAATTTGAAATCTCAAATTATTTTTAACTTTCATAAGAGGTAATTAATTCGTGCTTACATTTGTATTTTTACAATTTCATAGATAACCTCGAGGAATCACAAACAGCGCAAGCATTCTTTCATCGGGTAAGGTTTTTGAAGTTCATATTTTTAACAAAGCACGTAAATACTTAAATACATTTTTTGTAATAAATTGCTATAATTAGAGAATAGTGGTGTACCTCAAATTATTCAATTTACAATCACAGGTAATGAATGAAACGAACACTTTAATAAATTGGCCTGCACGCTTGAAAATCGGAGCTCGCTCTAAAAAAGGTAAATAATAAGATGGAAATTCACTTCATTACTTATCTGGTATCAAATAAATTTCTTTATTTTTGAATGAAACGAATCTTTATTATTCTTCAACGACAATTTGGCGGGAATTTACTGGCGCCAAAAAGACTAGCGAATGGGCGCCGTTCTGGCGGTCAAATCCAAAATTCGAATCATTTGCACGCGTCGGTTGCTGTAAAACAAACCAATTTCAATCAATTTTATTGTTTTTTATATTAATTAAATGAAGTAACGATGATTTCTACCGAAAATTACGATGAATTAGTTTATGATGTTATTAAAAAGATACGTGAGAATCGGTTTTGTGAATTTCTGAAAATTTTCGGTCAGTTATTAGTACATTTGATTTGTACCTATTTTTTTTTTGTGATTCCTGGTATTGATAATATTTATAATCGTGCTTAGATCCTCACGTGAGAGTCGCTGGTCGACCTGATGATGTGAAATTGGCTCGTGAAAAAATTATGCAGTTACTGGACACAAGGGTAAGTGCATTAAGCTGTTAAGTATTCCACAAGAGACTTTTAATTAATCGAAAGTTGTAAGCATTTTACATAAGTGCTATCATACTAAGTTGAGATCACCTATCCATCAATATTGTAAGTAGAGAATGTATCGCTTTTCTGTAGATCTGTAGTAGAAGATTCAAACCAATAACAATAACCCGCCATTTTTTAAGTCGATTATATGTAATTGTAACCTTAAATCAACGTTTGTTCAATTGTTTTCTGTAAATTTGTTAACATCTGTTATTGCCTAATTAGATCTCAAGGGCTGGGTAAGCAATAGCCGGTAACTGAAGAATGGCATTTTTTGTATCATCTAGGTATGCCTATTTAGTTTGCTAGTTCTTTGTGTATTTGTTTGTTCGACCATAAGCCATTAGACTGGTACAACTTTTTGGTTAGTACTAACTCCGGTAACGTCATAATACCAGAATTACGATCAGCGCCTTCTGTTTCGATAGAACTATGATCATATGATTCTATGGTTTACAGTCGCCATGCAGATACATCGTTAATTGAATTCCATTTGTGAATACGCGTAATCAGTACGAATTAAAGATATACGTTATTTTTAGAAAAATTGAAAACGGTATGCGTCCATTTCCAATTTCTAGACACGCATGATACGACGGATTCGGTTCCTATGTAGACATTTGAGTGTTAGACTAAACGATGACCGCTGTGGATTCCTTCGCGTAAATAATAATATGTAATCTAAGTAATTAAGTAAATACAGGTGGTGGAACCTCCTATGAGTCCGCACGGGTAGGTACCACCACCCTGCCAATTTCTGCCGTGAAGCAGTAATGCGTTTCGTCTTGAAGGGTGGGGCAGCCGCTGTAACTATACTGAGATCTTAGAACTTACATCTCAAGGTGGGTGGCGCATTTACGTTGTAAATGTCTATGGGTCTAGTAACCACTTAACACCAGGTGGGCTGTGAGCTCGTCCACCGATCTACGCAATAAAAAAAATGAGAAACTTAAAAAAACTTATCATTACCATCCTCAGCTCATAGGCAAAAATATTTCAGACAGAAACGTAGATAAAAGCTTCATAAAATGTTCATAGGGATTTTGAGCTCTATTTTACTCTAAAATAAAGCTGATTGCCTTTGTAATACAAATGAGAATTTGTTAACAGAGTAATCGTGTTACAATGAAAATCGACGTCAGCTACACGGACCATTCGCACATAATCGGCAAGGTAAGTTCTTCAACCTTTTACCTGTAAATATAGGTAAAGGCGCGCATTGAAGCATTGAAGACTGTTGGAATTGACTAAGAAATGTGAATTCGTAACAATGCAGTTGGCGAGGCACATTACTGGTGGAGCAGTTTTATTACTTGCGATGACCTGGTGGTAGGTGGTGATCACACGTCCTTACGGATCCATCAGATCCAATAACCTTTGCATTAGACGCCTTCAGCTCTAACACCAGGAGCAGGCTTAGGAGCCCCGGTAACCGTACTCGTCGAATTCGAAAAAGAGGTCCACGTACAACCTAACCCATGCATCAGCTCGCTGAGTTTCTCGCCGGATCTTCTCAGCGGGTCGCGATTCCGATCCGGTAGTAGATTCATTCGCGAAGCGGTTGCTCTTGAGTTGTTAGCTCTCCTTCGGAAGCGCTCGGGAAACTGTTAGCAAATTCCACCCCTTCTGGCTGGGCTTTTGCTCACCCACCTGTCCTGGTGAAACTGGAAAGGCCTTCGGGCCACCAGTACATCAATCATAATAAATAAATAAATAAAAAAACGTGGTGATCGTCGCTCATGAAAATAAAACTGCCACGCTATTGTCTTAGAATTCGATTATCATCTCTAGAAAAGTAATAGGGAAGGTAGCTCTTTCGGTAGAAGGTCGTCCGATTGTGTAAATAAAATGACGGTAATTATCTCCCCCAAACAAGACATTTGAGGATTTAGTGTTTATGCAAAAAAAAACAGTTCGTTCCGAGAATATGGCTAGCAAGGTGTAACAATGATCCAGCGAAATATCGATGCAAAGTAAGACTGATAATTGGAGTCCCGGTGTTACCATAGCCCAAGGACACAGTGTCTTTTTATATTGCTGTCCCTAAGAATACAATAATCTAATACATCGGCTGAAGTTATCTTTAGCAAGACACGTTATAGCTTTGATTTAGACTGTGGCGGATAGCCATCATACAACGCAAGATAATTGACAGATGCCTGAATCTCGCTTACGACATTTTCAAGATAAAGCGCATATATACAAGTTCCGAATAACAACATTCCGACCGTCGGTCTACCGAGCACCCGCACCTTAAAATGTCGTATGATGTTGTATGATGGCTACCCGCCACAAGACCAAGGGTTCCCAAACTTATTTTGTCTACTACCCACTTTGAGAATAAGTTATATTTTAGCGCCCCCATTTTTTCACCTACTTATAAACCACTATAACGAGAGCTCAGTCGGTGTCTAAGAGTCTTCCTAGATGAAATTACAAATCGCTTCCCAAGCATCTACAGAACACCCCCTTTTTTTCTGGGTCTCTTACCGCCCCCCTTTGAGGCCTCAAGCGCCCACAAGGGTGCGTTATCGCCCTCTTTGGGAAAGGCTGATTTAGACAGATAGATAATTCCAAACAGGGTGGTTTGACGATAAAACGCGTCATGGAAGAGACGGGCTGCCACATTCACTTCCCGGACTCGAACAGGACCAGCACCGTGGAGAAGAGTAACCAGGTCTCCATCGCAGGTGATATGGAAAGAGTCGAACGAGCCAGGGCAAGGGTTCGAGTGAGTTGATACTAGACATCTCACAGTCACATTGTTTTAGAACTGACCCCGATTCTCCTATGGTGACCGCTTAGACAGACTCAGGGTTGCGCTCACTGGGTTCCGTAAAGGGAAAATACTAATAAGCATAGCTTCTGCCAGCAGCCCTTAGACATCACGGCGTAGATGTCGTCTCCACATTGAGACATAGAATTGAAGTCTCAACAATCTTTTAGTTCTGCCCTTAAGTTACGTTAGTCTTTATCGCATAAAAAAAATAATCATGGAATATAAAAATGTTATTAATAATACTATTGGGTTAAGAATACGCCTTCGTCTATGATTTTGAGATGTATTTTTTTTAATATGTTTAATCAGCTTTTAAGTATGTAATCGGTTTTATAGCTTTAGAATAGATTTCTGAAATTGCTTTAAAAATTTTCAGATGTAAACTACAAATCTTTTAAAACACTAAATCCGACCTACTGACACCTAATTCATTTATGTTCCTATAGCGGCCCGCTCCGGTTCCGCTCGAATCTTTAACAAAAATTTCAACAACGTTGTAAATAATAATGTATTCTACAAACTCGTAGTACATTATTTTATTCTATCATCAATCGTTTTCGCGGGGCACGCGATGTAAAGAACATTTTAGGTAACTTTTTACACCTTGGGTTACATTAATGGAGTTTTAGTAAGAATCCCTAACTTTTAAAAAAAAAGGTTTTAGTCTATGTTACTCGGGAATAGTGTAGCTTCCAAACAGTGAAAGAATTTTTCAAATCGGTTCAGTAGTTTCGGAGCCTATTCAATACAAACAAACAAACAAACAAATCTTTCCTCTTTATAATATTAGTATAGATAAACATTTTTGTTTATAAATTAAAAAAGTTTCACAACTAAACAATTCCGAATAGTCACTGAAATTCCCTGCTGGCTGAGCTTTTGCTCGCCTACCTGTCCTGCAACTGGAAAAATCCTGCGGGCCACCAATAGTCCTTTCTTTCAAAAAAAAAATGTCATTGCAATCTCAGGCGTAGTTTTAATTAATAAACTAGCAGACCCGGCCACACGTTGCTGTGGTTAAGGTTTTTGTTTCTAAATAACACGTGGCCGGCTATGCAAATACCAAAAATTTACAAAGTAAGAATAATTGGATTTCACTGTATTGCGTTTACTACGAAATAAATTTCACTTATACTTTAGCCTCAGCAACACGTGGTGCTTATGCCATTAAATTGTAGCTTATGTGAAACGTTGGTATTTTTAACACAGCGCCATCTATGAGATATTAATGTTAAACAGTGTAAATCTGTTTTTACATACATTACAATTGTCTGTAAAAACTGATTTAAGGTGCCATCTGTTTTAGACTTACAAAACATACAATTAATAACAATAATCAACATAAGAAATCATTTTATTGTTAATTAATAAATATTGCGACCATTAATCGAAATAAAAACTATCCTATGGCATAAGTTGGAACAAAACCCATATTTAAAAAAAAAGTTAAAATCGGTTGAGTAGTTTAGGTGTCTATCGCGGATAAACAACTTGACACGTTATTTATATATAATAAGATTCTCAAGTAAATTGCATTAATGTATCATGAATGTTTCCAGGCGCTAACCCCACTAGTATTCAGCTTTGAGCTTCCGATAGTGTCGGCTTCACAACCGCTGCCGGACATTAACTCGCCCTACGTACATCAGATACAAGAACAGTATAACGTTCAGGTAATATATATAGATAGATTATGTTTTGTCAGCTTAAGTTAACGACAAGTCACCTGCTAAATTAGTATATTTCCATCTACTAAAACCGTTCACGTTTTAAACAAAAACGGTTAAAGTATGTATAGTGTAGTAAGTATAGTAAAAGTAGCATTTTACGTATATTAATGAAATTATTATTATTTATTAAGATAAATTTACCAAACAATTATCCAAACCTTACAAACCTTACAAAAACGACTCGAACATTTTATTTGCTATTTATTACGATCAGGAGCTTGATTTAGTTTTAACTAAATTGTAATTCCTACGTTATTTGCTACGTTTAAAAAACTATACAGATTTTGTGGACAGAACAGTATGAAAAGTAGACTTAATTATGTTTGAAAAAAGTAATTGTATTTACGAAGAATAGGTACACTACGGAAATACTATTAAAACGTCATAAACGGTTTAGATATCAAAGGAACCCATGAAAACAAGACGAGACATTAGAAGTCTCGGTTGTTTCGGTAAGTGGGTATTGTGACCTTATAACGGAACTCAAAATGCACCGACTAAGATATCGTCGCTGTCAAACCAAAATCTGCTATGTGCAAAAACTCTATTTTGAATTAACGAGTAAAAACATTTTCGTATAAAATTTTATATGAAAGTAAATTTTTAAGAACTATATCAAATGAAAGCTATAGATAAATATTAAAGCTATAGACACATAACAGTTTTTTTATGCGGTAGATAGGGCTGTGAACTATACGAAAAAGTCAAAAAGTAAAAATCTCAAAAAGTGCACATAGCAGATTTTGGTTTGACAACGACGATATGCTGCGAAAACTCCGGTGAAGAGCTTCATCTTGATTGTGTTTGCGTTCTCAGGTGATGATCCGTAACCGTCCGAAGCTCCACGCCAACCTGCTGGTGGTGAAGGGAGTCCAGTGGGAAGTGCAGGCCACCATGGAGGCCACCAAACTACTCATGAACTACATGTGCGGACCACTCGCTGTAAGTACGAAAAGTCCATGCATAGTGCAGTAAAAGAATCTATGAAACTATATTTAGCGCCATCTGTTGTTAACGGGTGCAACTAAACGATAGCATTGTAAAAGTTAAATAAAATTTGTATGCAGTTGGAACAGCGCCCCTAGCGGAAAACGTAGGTAAACGTCCCAAATCCATACAAATTTGAGTTAGCTTTTACGCTATCGAGAACGTTAGAAGATTCGCACTAAGCACGCAGATGTGTAAATGTTACTTGTATACAGATCATATTATGTAGCGAAAAATCCACAATTAAAGTAAGGGCGAGCTGTTGCCTGTTGCGTGCAGCCAATGACGCTTCCAACGCCATCTATTTTTTATTTTTTAAATTCCATTCATACGCTCACTTAATAATAGAATTCTAAGTACCTTACCTACCTATGCAATTCAACAACTGACGGTATTTTTTCAGTAAAGTTTAAATTATTGTCTAGTGTTACACACATTGTGACAGCAATATCGCCGTCGAGAATGATTGTATAGCACATAATAAATAAATAAATCACTTACTTATTTATCATTAAATATTTACGTATATAAAATATGCACGCAGGCAAAAATCAAGCTTTAATTCAACTCTGAATTGAGCCATGACTGTGATCAACACTTCAGCGCGCTTATTACTACACCACCAAGACACTCAAGAACATTTTCAAACAGCTGACACGCGAGGTCAACGACTTTGCAGGATATATTCATTTTAGATTACGGTCACCGGCCTACTCTGGTACGGTCGTTTATTAATTATGACCTGTAGTTTCCAGTATAGTCGATGTCATTCTTATTTTTAGTAACCTAGTTTTAATTTTCATACCGTTATTCCCAGAGCCAAACCCTGGTTCAGATGTCACTGGAAATATCTCCGATGCACCACGCCGTGGTGGTAGGTCGGGGTGCTGAGCAGCTGAAGGTCATCATGAAGGGCAGCGGGACGCAGATAATGTTCCCGGACGCGGACGACCCCAACATTCCGCCCCTCAAAAAGAGCTGCGTCACTATCACCGGACAGATCCAAGACGTGTACACGGCCAGGCAACAACTTGTGGTCGGCTGACAATCTACATCAACCCTTATGTGATAAAGCTTCATTTGTACAACCTTCCTGTTCAACTCAGGGAATAATCAAATCCTTTAGTCTCTTTTTTGCTTTTGCTATCTACTAGAACAGGCAAACGGAACATAGCCCATACAGCCAAGTCTTTGTACTTTAAGGCCCAGTATAAAGTATATATTTTAAACGGAAAGTAAATTCATCGCGGCCTAAAGGATAAAACGTCCGGTGCGTTCGTATCTAGCGATGCACCTGTGTTCGAATCCTGCAGATGAGTACCAATTTTTCTAATGAAATACGTAGGTACCTAGTTAACAAATGTTCACGATTGACTTCCACGGTGAAGGAATAACATCGTGTAATAAAAATCAAACCCACAAAATTATAATTTGCGTAATTACTGGTGTTAGAACCTCTTGTGAGTCCGCACGGGTAGTTACCACCGTCCTGCTTGTTTCTTCCGTAAAGCAGTAATGCGTTTCGGTTTGAAGGGTGCGGTAGCCGTTGTAACTATACTGAGACCTTAGAACTCATATCTCAAGGTAGGTGGCGCATTTACGTTGTGGATGTCTATGGGCTCCAGTAACCAATTAACACCAGGTGGGCTGTGAGCTCGTTCACCCATCTAAGCAATAAAAAAAATGTAATTAAATTACATAAAATATTTTTAAAGTTTTTAATTAAAAAAAAGGAAATGACAGAAACAGTTATCCAATAAACAGGGCAGCCTGCCGCTGGTTGTGATCTTCGATGTGTCGGACGAGGCGTGTCGCGTGGACAACGACGCCGCCAACAAGCTGATGCAGAAACACAACGTCTACATCAACATCAGACGCAAGCCTAAGCAGGGGATCGCTTCCGTCGTCATCAAGGGGATAGAGAGATGCGCAGGTGACTCGTCTATTATTTCTATTTACAACGCTAGCGTTTGCTATTGGGTCGAACGCTTCTCAGTACTAGGTGGTCCGATGAAGCCGAATTTTTCCTAGTACACTTAGAATGAGTCCAAGATATCTTGGGGGCTTCAGATTTACATTTTCATGTGATGCTTGTGTCAATCAATGTAGTGCTGAGAATAAGCATCCACGAGTCAGATTTACATTTTCATGTGATGCTTGTGTCAATCAATTTAGTGCTGAGAATAAGCATCCACGACTCAGATTTACATTTTCCATCCACGACGCACCAAAACCAATTGTATTTATATCATTATTATTTTTCTCTTAGTTCAACTTTCTGTCTAACAACCATCTCTTCAAACATTTTGTATGTGAATAAGCAATCTTGTTTTACATCTATATCTAGTCTACGTGAAACAAAAACTTTGTATCTACCCCTTTTTACGAAAATTGCGCAGACGGAGTACTTAGTATGATATTTCCCACACTTATAGAGAATGTAGAGTAGTGCAGAATGCTAATTTTTTTTTTAATTATGCCTAAAAAGTACATTACACAAATAAAAGAGACATGACACATACACACGCACATATACTTTCGCTATTGCTTAAAGTCTGTGGTCAAATTGAGAATAGATTAACATTGTTTGTCTATAATGTAGTCTTGGCGAAATCTGTGATTGTAGAAAGTAAAATACTAGTCTTTGACAATAGAACCCTAATAATGTTCAAACTTATAATTTCAATTAATTATAGTCGAATTTCGACTATCGGGGGACCGCTAGTAAGAATAAAACGTTATTATCGTCATCAGGCGACATCTACGAAGCCCGCCGCGAGCTGCTGGGCGGGAAGGAGCCGGTCATCGCAGCGGAGATACCGGAGTCGTACAACATCCCGTCGCTGGGCAGCACCATGCCCAACTTCGGGCCGTTCAGTCCGTTCTCGGCGCACGCGTCGCCCTACAGCCCCGAGTGCGGCGGTGCGGCGGGGCCCGCGCCCTACACGCCCGAGTACGGCGCCGTGGTGTCGCCCGGCGCGTGGCTGCTCAGCCCCCCGGCGAGGGCGGCGCACTTCCACTACCCCGCGCTGGGACCGACCCTACAGCTGCCGTCGCAGAACTCCGTCGTGTACAAGAATCAAACTTGGAACCGTACGTTTTTTTTATTATTGCTTAGATGAGTGGAAGAGCTCACAGCCCACCTGGTGTTAAGCGGTTACTGGAACCCATAGGCATCTACAACGTAAATGCGTCACCCACCTTGAGATATTAGTTCTAAGGTATCAGTATAGTTACAACGGCTGCCCCACCGTTCAAGCCGAAACGCATTACTGCTTCACGGCAGATATAGGCAGGGGGGTGGTACTACCCGCGCGGACTCGCAAGAGGTCCTACCACCAGTAACGATTTATTATTACGTTTGGTATTTATTAAACTTTGATAGAGTATACATTCAATTGCTGTGGTCACTGCACAGCAAGGCCACGCTGCCCCTGTGTGCGAAGTGTGCAGTGCACACAGGCGCTAAAACAATAAGGGCGCCACCAACGAAATAATTTATGTTACACTTACACAATAAAAAAATCTTTGTAGTGAAGTATCGATAAGTAAGTGGGTACAATAAGCGCAACATATGCTTTGTAAATAACAAAACTTAAAATGCATTTCTAGTACAAGTGTCACAAGATTTACGTCAAAACAATAAGTCAAAATTAACAAATAATAAAAAAAGAAGATTCGTAAAAATAGGAGGCGCTTCACGACTGCCGGGGGTCGACGCGATCCTGCTGAACAGTTAAGCCTTGTTCGAACTAGGCGAGTATTTTAGTCGAGTACCGAGTAATTTAGTAAAATTCACCCAACTTTCGGACATTCTCAAATTATCGAAGTATTCTTTGGGATCTCTTCCAATGCTTTTCCTTCAATTCCTTCAGTTCCTTCAATTCCTTCAGAAGACATTTAGTAGCTCCTACTTTATCTCTTCTATCGATCCATTTTCGTACCCATAACTTATTTTTCTTAATCACAGAAATTTCCTCATCCACTTCTTCTAAAACAGCCATTACGATTAGCTTAATCAGTTTATTCACTCTATAGCGTTGCAGCCCGTTCATCTTGCAAAACACCATTCACTTGTGTACTCTACTGGACCGTAATGCGAACGATTTCTGTGCAGTAGCGAGTAGCTTAGCCACTAAATTACTCGGTACTCGACTAAAATACTCACCTAGTGCGAACAAGATTTTATTGTCGCGTGTCTTTACACTGCATGAGTATTTCTTTACATTAACTATTGATTTCTCTAATAAACCATTAGTTGACTATCGTGAATATTCATTACTCACGATAGTCATTTTTGGATATACCTCTATAATAATATAGTAATCATGAACGCATTGTGTTTTTATACAGCGCTGTCTAACAACAACGACATAAGTGGACTGCCACAGACGATGTTAATGCAGCAACCCTACCAGCAAGCGCCGGCTGAAAACCGACCCGTAAGATTATAAGCCGCCTTATTTTATGCAACTTACGGATAGCGATTAATGAGTATTCGGACGTTATTATGAAAACAGTTTATTTCTCATCTAAATAAGGGGTTTATCCGTAACATACAATAAAATAATACTATGTCTTAGTAATATTCTATCAACAACAGATGGCGTTAGTTATGGTTTCATAGGGTTTTTTACTGCACTGTACAAGCACTTTTGCAGCTCAGTGTACAAAAGATATCGAAAGACAATTTAGATATGTGAGATTTCCTTTGGAGGCGCTCGGGCAGCCATTAGCAAATCCCAACCTTCGTGACGGAGCCCGTGCTCACCCACTTATCCTGGGGAAACTAGAAAGCGCTTTGGGCCACCAGTAATTCTTCCTTCATCAAAAAAAAAACAATTTCGAATGTAACTCTTAGTCACACAAGAATCCGAAAACAATATTCGAAAGGGTATCTAGAATTAATTAAAATTTACAATTGTCGGTACAATGACGACCCTCATGATGTTACCATACAAATATGTGCATTATTGTTATGGGTCTATATCTATGTATCTTTGAACATGTACCTACTTTTTTCTCTTAAAAATCAATGCACCTACCGCATCTCTCTACAGCAGCACCCTTGGTCGAATGGTATTAAGTCTGCCACTGTACATAATTATTTTATTGATAACATTAAAGCTAAAATTTTCTTTTTGTGCTCTTATGTACCGCTAGAGAGTTAATATGAAATGATATAAGGTGTATTGTACACAGAGCACGCTGAGCCAACTGCTGAACTCGAGCTCGCAGGCGAGCAGCGGCTACCAGAGCAACTTCACCGGCAGCTGCGTCTCCCTTGACGCGCACAACATGTCCGGTAACTCCTCGATCCTCCTCCTCATCAGTGCTCTCACGATAAGGGCTGGGCCAAGCAGGATAAATAAAGCTTCCACCGAAGTACAAATTAAAACTCTATTAAATATTTAGAACACTTAGGAACACTTTAAAATTTTCAATTCACTTCTTCTTCTTCGCTTCATGTGATTGGTTCACCGTTTTGCTTCGAGTAGAACCGATTACTGACTGCCTTAATGTCATCTCTGCAACGCTTTTATAGTCAACACGACATCGCTACAATTATCGAAAACATTTCTGGCATGTCGTTTCGATATGCGTTTCCGCTCTTTGATAATAGATGGCGCTGAACTTCTCGAGCGTTCTCGATTTTAATCGTTCTTTTGATATTCGTTTCTGCGGTTCGACGATAGATGGCGTTACTCTTACCGGCGTAAAAAAATTATAATTATCTCCATAGATGAGGGTTATAGTTGACTCTACTGTCTGAATCTGCTGATTGCGTATGATTTTTTAGGAGGCGAAGGCAGTAACGTCGGCTCCCCCTCGGTGTCCCCTATCAGCAAGACTCACAGCCCCGCGCACGCCGATGCTGAAAGATCCCAAGGTATCGCAAATACGTTTAACGATACGAATATTTCTTTGATATATGCTTAGATGGGTGTCTACACTTCGAGAGGTGTTAAGTGGGCACCGAAATCTATAGACGTCTACAACGTAAATGCCACCACCCACCTTGAGATATAACTTCTAAGGTCTCAATATAGTTACAACGGCTGCCCCGCCCTTCAAACCGAAACGCATTACTGCTTCACGGCAGAAATAAGCAGGGCGGTGGTACCTACCCGCGCGGATTCACAAGAGGTCCTACCACCAGTAGACGATTTTGGTCTTAACGATTGGTCATCGCGACGGTGTCGTTTCGCAGAGTTGGCTAGTATAATATCGGATATACCGCTGTCCGAGCGGCGCGCTGTGGGCTGCGAGAAGAAGACGCTGGAGACGCTCAACAAGCTGTCGCCCCTCACCGAATACAGGAAGATGAAGCAGGAAGCCACTAAGGTAACCGATGCGGGACTTAACTACCACACGATCATACCAAAAAGGTTTTAATATTAATATTAGAATTTTTTTGCTAACGCTACATCATTATTTGGTTTTATAATAGTACTGTTTTATTTTTGATGACGCTACCTCAATATTGTTTTAAAATTTATTAATAAAAATTCACGAATCGTAATGAGGAATCGACTGGAAGTAGAACGTCTATTAAACCCACGCCGCAGTATATTGTGTTTTAGTAAATGATTAACATGCGGCTCTTATGTTGGTGCTCCTCCGATGCTAGTAGGCAGCGGCTTGGCTCTGCCCCTGGCATTGCTGAAGTCCATGGGCGACGGTAACCATTCACCATAAGGTGGGCCGTGTGCTCGTCTGCCTACAAGGGCTATGAAAAAATTAAAATAAATGCTCATGGACATCAGCAATGCCAGACACAGCTGAGGACGCTCTGCCCTACGGCAGCGCGTCCTCCTGTCATTACGGATCCTTCCGATCCATTAACGGTGCTTTAAGGGTACTCATCTTTGATCTCATTTTTCAAGGCGGGCTCCAGTAACCACTTGAGACGTCGTGAGCTATTACTAAAGCTATTATCCTCTTCGTATATTTATGAGCTTAATATACAACGGACTTTAATTAGATTAGCAAATTTATGATGACAATTGAGCACTCTACCAATTCCGCAATGAAGGTGACAAACACGGACTGATCCCGGCTTGTCAATGTTTGCTTCGCTAATGTTTTGGATTGTGGTTAATGTTCGTCGTGTTGCAGGCGATGCGGGAGAGCGTGTGCGGCGGCGGGTACCGGGTGCCCACGCCGCGCTGGGCCGGCTACTACTTCAGCCACACGTCGCCGGGGCCCATCAACCTGCACGATAACGAAGGAATCACTTCGGTTAGCTTCACTGAAACAACATAATCGACGCTTGAAAGGCAAACGTGACTAAGCGACAATAACTGCTTTGTACATAGGCAATAACCATATTCGATGCGCAAAAAAAATATATTTCTAGGTCTATTAAAATCATTTCAATCCTACAGCTACTAGCTAGATTCTACTACAGCTAGATTTGTTAAAATAAATTTTGTTTTCAGGTATTTAAACTTTAAATTAGTCTACTGTAAAGTTCACGCATTGTCGTTTAGTCACGTATGCCTTCCAAGCGTCGATATATTTGTCGGAGAAACCACAATTATTAACACCATCGTCAGACATCGTAGGGACGAATAGGGTGATCGAGCTAAGAAAAATATTGAGTAAGCCAATCGCGTTTACTGTCTTAGAACAATTTAGAAATCTTCTCTTGACGTTGGCAAATAAAAACGAATGAAAATTCTTAGGACGGAGGCACCGGTCTTCAAAAAGGCTGGTTGGTAAGTCTGATGTCGTCTACGCGCCTCCATCGGCTAGGCTAGACTAGGCTAAGTTAGCCGAGTTCCTACGATATCGCAATCGTGCTGCCATCTCTCGAGAATCATGCTGCGTTTCGTTTAGCTACCAAACTAATGAACGAGCATACGGCCCACCTGATGGTGAGTGGTTACCGTCGCCCATGGACTTCAGCAATGCCAGGGGAGAGCAGCCAAGCCGCTGCCTACCGCGTAATACTCTCCGCAAGCCTCTTTTGAAGAAGTACATGCCATAGCGCTCGGGAAGCACCGTGGAGCTGCATCATCTAGAGACGCCATTAGCTTTTCTTAATCATTGTAGAAAGGTCCATAAATTTTCTCGAAATGGTAAACTATTCTAATTGTATTATTTGTATGTATGTTGTTCTTTACATTTGTTTTGTTACTATGTCCTTATTCACATATGCTTAAAGAAGTCACTGTTGCTAACATTAATAGGGATAAATGAATTTAATAATAATGAAGTGACTATAGCCAGCAATGGTTGGTTGCAGCCGGAGAAGGCGTGGAGCAGACCCGACCTGGTCCGGCCCAACATCGCGGAGAGCGCGCCGCACAAGCCGTGCCGCTACAAGCAGCTGTACGAACTGCTGCGAGACGTCGGACTGCACAAGTACATCGGTCGGTAACGGTCAGCCTGAAGGTCTAGACCAGCCTTTCTCAAAGTGGGCGATAACGCCCCCTTATGGGCGCTGCTACAGGCCCAAAAATGGGGCGAGTGAAGACTAAGAAAAAAAATGGGGGCGTTGTGTAGAGGTTTGAGAGGCGATTTGTAAATTCATCTAGGATTCTTAGACACCAACTAAGCTCTCGATATAGTGGTTTTTAAAAACGTTGGCTCTAAAAATAATTTATTCTCATGGTGGGTATTAAACAGAATAATTTTGGGAGCCGCTGGTCTAGAACCTTTCTCCCTTACTTATTCGCTGGTAGCCTAAGGAGCTATTCTAGCTTCATGCGAACGGGTTGTAGACCCAACGAAACAAATGAAAAACATCACCGAAAACCGACATCTATGTGTAGCGATTTTGGAGGCACTTCCCGATCACCTGGGAAACTATCGACTCATCTCGTCATCAAAATAATATTGATATAGTTATAATATATGATAAAATTGTGTAATATATTTTTATGCACTAGTATTCCAGAAATGTATCTACAATACCAAGTTTATTCGCATTTAATAACGATTTCTGATCCGTTGAATTATTTAATAGCAAAAGGAACTCCGTTCCAAACGGGTGTCCATATTCCAAGACCAAGACATCTCTGTCTTCTTTATATGTGTCTCAATAATTTATTTTACATTGATAATTTGATGGTGTGATACTGCACCTTTGACTTCGTGTTTTGTTCCTTCTAAGAACTGAAATGAGATTGGTTCAACACTAGGACCCCCTGTACTATGGTATAAATGTATACGTTTTTTTTTTTATTTTTTTTTTATTGCTTAGATGAGTGGACGAGCTCACAGCCCACCTGGTGTTAAGTGGTTACTGGAGCCCATAGACATCTACAACGTAAATGCGCCACCCATCTTGAGATATAAGTTCTAAGGTCTCAATTATAGTTACAACGGCTGCCCCGCCCTTCAAACCGAAACGCATTACTGCTTCACGGCAGAAATAGGCAGGGTGGTGGTACCTACCCGTGCGGACTCACAAGAGGTCCTACCACCAGTAACGTTTAGATATATACATGTCTAGATACTAAACATTCAAACAAAGAGGAAATATTAATAACTAGCTGAGCTGGCAGACTTCGTAGTGCCTCAATCGATAAATAAAAGACTTAAACTTTTGTATAAAATAAACTTAAAACAAACAAAAGGAATCCGTACGCCGGGGGACACATCAAAGGAAAAACAAAATTGATATTTTTATTTAATTCCGAGCATTTTCATATTTATCTACCTTTTAAACCTTCTCTGGACTTCCACAAATAATTCAAGACCAAAATTAGCCAAATCGGTCTAGCCGCTCTCGAGTTTTAGCGAGACTAACGAACAGCAATTCATTTTTATATAGTATATAGATTAATAATTAATAATAATACGTTGGTCACACGATGTTTACCCGATGTAGGAATAGAACCCACGACTTTTAGTCCAGAAGGCAGGGCGCTATAAACTGCGCCACCAAGTCAGTCGACATCGACGTTACGTGCACAATCAGACACGGATATAAATTAACAAGAGGCTCATATTGAAGCCGGGTATCCGTATAATACAAGTAATATTAATAGTTTAACTCGCCTAATTAAAAATCCTCATAGTGACTTATTAAGGCACCCAGTGGTGGATTTACATTAGGGGCAGTCGGGGCAACTGCCCAGGGCTTCAAAATTTTGAAAGTGAAACATTTTTTTAGTGTTATCAAGATTGCTCAATATAATTAATTATTAATCAATAATTTTCTGTTTAATTGATAATTCAACAAATTCAATTCACCCATTATTTCTGAATTATAAATTGGGTACTTTTGGTAAAAAATTATATCAAAATGGTTTAATCAATTTAAAATAATAATCGATTTTTCTATTATCTGGAATTAAAGAAATTTAATTTGTTTTTTTTTTATGTAATATAGTAATAATTATGAGTTACCCTTAGTGCAAAATATTTTACAATTGTTAGAAAAAAAAACAAATATTTATTTATGTCTTTTGAATATAATAACATTTGATAACGTTTCTGCAAATTCTGTAGTTATTAGCTATTTTCAATTAGTGATTTTAATTTTGAAACTATAAGTTTAAGTAAAATTCCAGTATTGGCGCGGATTTTTTTCCGGTGCCCAGGAGCGGCATTAAGTTTAAATCCGGCCCTGAAGGCACCTAACTTAATGAGATGCCGTAAATAATGTGTTTTCTATCTATTTCATGATAAATTGGTTGGTTGATTTGTAGACATGTTCAAGAAACACGAAGTGGACATCTGCACGTTTGCGTCACTGAACGAGGCCGACCTGTCCGAGCTGGGAGTGACGGCGTTCGGCGCGCGACGGAAGATGCTGCTCCTCATATCCGGTCAGTCCCTACTGCGCCAGGGTCGGGGGGTGTCTGTATTCGTTGCGAAACTGACATTATAGGCCTTCGATAACCTTTAGCCAGCAAGAGCAGTGAGATAAAAAAGAATTTATTCATAATAATAATAATAATAATAGAATAATGTGTCAAGTTGTGTCGGTACACGGTTTGATAGCGAAAAGTTTTGATCAACACCTTAAAAAACTTTCGTTATCCAGCTGGGTTACGGGCCTGATACAGATACTGTTATACTTTAAGTTACCATTTGTGTAAGGGCTGTAGGTAGCCGACCCCATTGGCAATCCCTGATATAAATCTTCGCATTTAAATTAATTGATTTTTTTCTTTTCTATCAGAGCTCCAAAAACAGTCCAAAACAATGAAGGGCCCCGTCGCTCCCGGCGCCGATCGAAAACTCGTTAGCTCGCCGCCGCAGTACAACACGACCGCCCTCTCTCAGGACAAGTGGTAAACAGCATTTAGAGGGACGTTTAAAAAAAAGCCACACCAATACAATAATATATTAATCACCAGACAAAAAATTCGTTCGATGCTAAAATCATTTACAAAATTAGACTATTTTCAATATTATCGTTTTTTAACCAACATACAGAATCGTAATAATATCATATATGATTTATCTGATGCGAATGAGATGCGTTAAACGCGAAGACTGATCATGATCAAGCCCGAGACTGATTCAAAGACTAATCGTTTATAAGTGCATTATTATTGTTTAATATTAAGTGAAGCTTTTGAATATTGTATGTACTGTTTTATATTAAATGATCAATTAAATCAAATCGATTCTGGTTTCGGAAATCGCAGAGTCGCAAGAATATAACTAGCGGAAGCCGCGGTCGGTTTTGTAAGGAATGCTCTAGAAGCATTTATAAACGAACTTGCTTATGACGCGGAACCCAGACGAAGTACTAATTATCGCGTACTCTAAATAAGCACCTACAAGTGTGCATTTAAGTTGATTTTAAGAGATTTTATTAAATTAAATATCTAGTTTGTGTGTGTATGTACTTTTATTATTTTTTATTAGCTAAAAGCGATACGACGATTCTGATCTCCGCCACAGACAATTGTTGAAGTAAACCGATTAATTTTCGTTAATTTTTTTTTAATTTTAATTTTTAATCATAGTCGAGGAGAGCATGTTTTATTTTTTTGATTTTATCTTACCGCGTCTACTACTAGATCTTTTATCCAAGTTAATTCCGACTAAATATTATATTTATATACTTAATGATTATCATGAATATTTACATCGTTTTAAAACTTGATTATGTGTTTTTTTTTGTTTGTTTTTTATATTAAAAAAGGGAATGCCAGATTGTTTATCGAGCCGATTATAAAGTTCCTTTTAATAACATATTTTTTGGAATATGATTTTCTAAGGATACGAACGCTATCGCCGCGAGCAGCTTGTAATTGGGGACGACCACTTGATTGAACGCGACGCGAAATGTTCACGTGAACATTGAATCATTATTAAGATGACACTCGTGAATTAATGTCATGACCATGACGACGCATGGAGAGGAATTGTTGTTAGTGGATCGTTCTCAACTATCGGATCGTTGGCGGATTGATATCGCATCAAATTCGGACAACCGTTGCATTTGACTTGATTTGATTTTTGAATGGGACTAATTACGAAAACTACCCTCGTTCTGTGGCCGCGGTGACTTCGCCATTAATTGCGGCGAGTCATCTCGAGCCGTAAACAATTTTAATCAGTTAACATTTTTAAATTATTCCTGTAATCGTTTTGTGTACGTGATTTATGAATTTTCGTTTAATTTCTTTTTTCATAGTTTTTGTTTTTATTTTTTTTAATTATTATCATCATTATTATTATTAATAGTTTTTATTGCACTTTGGATGTTTAACCTTATTAACATGCTAATACAATGAATGCTCACGTATGTTTTACAAGGTTTTTATACAATGCATTTTTTTTTTATTTGAGGGTACTAAAGTTTTGATACATGAAACATTGAGTTTACGCATGTAATGATTCCCTTAATTTTATATTTCAGTATAATTTTAATGAGCTTTCAACAAATTCGAGCACCAAGGTTTTATGTATCAATTCGTTTGCTCTAAACTTTTTAATTGTAACCTAAGAGAAATATTCGTTTTAATTATGAACTTGTGATTAAATCTTTTAGTAGGATGATTATCAGAATGAACAGACTTGATGTTTTAAATTATGAAATGAATACCTTATTATATGTTAAGTTAATGAGTTAGATTGTAGATGCATTTCCCAGTTTTCGGTTGTTGTACGTTTTTTTTTTTTTTTAATTTCCTAAAGGTGTTCATAGTTTTGCACGATTTTTTTTTCTTTTGCTTGTACCTACAAAATAAACTTGTGTCCATATTGATAATGTTGTTTCATTTGGTTTTACGTCTGGACTAAATCCTGTTTTATTTAAAGGAGTGGGATTAAAAATGAGGTCACGTATTTCATACGTCAGTAAGATGGAAGTATCAAAATAAGTGCTTCAAGTCAGATCAGTAGCTGGTAAAGTGCAGCTGAGTTCACAAAATTTTATAGCATTCCATCGGGCTCTTCGTCTCAAGTGGAAAGCTAGTTATGAAATTGTATTTTTTTTTATTGTTGCCGTAGGCTAACGAACATATGGCCTAACTGATAACAAGTGTTCACTGTCGCTTTTGGACATCAGCAATACTAGGAAAACGACCAAACCACTGCCTACTGCCAAAATTTCAAAAGTAAATTTCACTACAACTTTTAATCTACTAGATGGATGACCGAGCTCCGTCTGTATTAAATGATATAGTGTAAACCTGAGATTTAGAACTCATATCTCAAGGTGGGTTGCGGTATTCACGTTGTTGATGTCTATGGTCTCTAGTAACCAGTCAACACCCATCTAAGCAATAACGAATTTTTTTTTATTTCAAAATTAATTTTACTAAGATGAATTTCCTTCGTCTATCTCTAAATGCATATTCAGGCTGCTGTTAATCAATTAGGATACCAAGGTATTTTATATACCTAGCTAGTCTGATATCCCAGAACGAGCAAATTCTAGCGATTAGCACAAGTAGCACTATGTATTACATTGTAAAATTTATGAAAGTTATTTGAATTTTATTAAGAGTAATTCGCGGGATAACTTTTGTATCTATAAATAAAAGGAAAATAAAATTAATAACTACTTTAATTACGAATTCTCGAAGACTTGATCTTAATTGGTCTTATATAATTTTACAAATTATGATTCCGCTTTGTCAAACCCGTCATGTGTCAAATTAGTCACTGTCAACTGTCAATATTGTCATGTGAGCTGCAAACTGAAAAATATTAAATTGAATTGCATCATATATGTGAAAAAACCTCTGAAAAATGGGAAACGCTAGTGCTAAAGCGGTTGAAGTTAAAGTTTTAGATGGTCCTGCACCTGAAAACGTCGAGAAACCTAAACTAAAGCCTTGCTGTGCTTGCCCTGAAACAAAAAGAGCACGCGATGCATGGTAAGGTTAAGTGTTCAGGATTTAAATGATAATCATTATTATAAATCTGGTAATATTACATTACATTACGTATAATCATAGGAAACAAAAGTAAATACAAGTATCTATGTTTATAGACTACAATTTATTTTCTTCTTCATACCGAAATAAATCCCAAGATTTTCAAAGTACTGTTAACAAATTTCAGCATTATAGAAAATGGAGAAGAGAACTGTGGACCACTTATTGAAGAACACAAGGCCTGTATGAGAAAAATGGGATTCAATATTTAAAGTCATACTGAATTTTCAATCAAAGTATTATTAGCTACAAAGTACCTACGACAGCATTGCTTATTTGTCAGCAAATAAGTTCCAATATGAAAAAAATAAAACAGATTTAAAATCCACGTATGTAGTTAATAAAGTAGGTGTAAATAAATCAAATATACAGTTCTGTTTGTTACTTTTATAACTATTCTCATGGGATCCACGTTGATTAATCAAGTTGTAAATATTTGAAAATGCTAATGGTATTGGCAAGATGTTAAATTTGACTTAATTCACAATTATGTTAGCACACAGCCGTTTGTATCTGGCTCCATAACTAAATTATTTGATGTACAAGAAACATGAGTGTCACCTTAAAAATAGAATTCAGATTTCTAGAATTGAATTTCAATGAACATAGTTTTTTAAATAACATAATTATTTGATCAAAAGTTGAGATGTAACCAAGTGCAAAGATAAACTTGTGACTTTATAATCATTTTTCTTGGACATTGCCTGGAAAACAATGTTATAGTTGAGGAAAAACAAAAATACAAATTGAGTTATAAAAATAACATTTTCTGATTTTGATAGTAGTTATCTTTTAAGTATCGCATTGTTTATTGCAGTAGGATTTTTCATTTAATTACTTCTATGTTGTGATAAAATTGTATTTGAAATGTGTCTGAAAGTAACATTTAATAGCCTATTAAATTTTAAAACTTTTTTTTTAGTTTAATAATGTAATATAATTTTTGTATGGTCTAGTTATTTATTTAAACACCAAAGCTTATCTCAATTTTATGTGTAAATAAAAATTTGTTTCATTGGTGTGCTGTTTTATTTTAGTGAACTATTTAATTTTGATTTTAGTGAAAGCAATGCATCAATTTTTTATATTGATCAGTATTTTATGATTTTGATCGACATCTAACAGTTTTTGAAAAATCATCAGATCAGAAGCCAACTAAGTCATACAATTGTCTGAATACTCATCCATAATGTGTCAACTTGTACTTATTACGAAGTAGAGATTAATCTAATCCTAAACTCACCTGATGCTATATCGTAATCAGATGTCACAAACAACACAGCATCACTAGGGCCAGTGTTAGGAACACCCCGGTTTGAACCCCGTGAGCTCACCTACATGTTAGGGCGAAGCTGACACAGCCTCTCAAGGCTATCAGCATGGGTAGGAAAAAAGCTTCATTATTGGAGTATTGAAGCATTGATGCAATAATAATGAGAAATGCAAAAATGAATGAGCACGCTTTATAGTTTGAGATTAGAACCTGTTAATAAATCTCTTTTCATTACGAAGAATTAGAAGCTCTGTTTTTGTTGTTTAATAAGGCACCTTGCTAGCCTATAAGGCATCCATCCCATCCATCACACCAATTAGCAAAAACACAATGCATTCTCCCAACTTGAGATGTGTTATGAAAGTTAGTTGGCTGAGAATAATAAGACTACACATGATTGCTTCAGAACTGTGCTACCAACCTATACCGACACCACGCGACGCATTTACACTAGGAGAAACAGGCTAGTTTCAATCGAAGTATGAGACGAAAACATCAAATTTCATATCCATATGCACATCAGTGTGCTTAGTGAGAGTTTTTTAACGTTCTCGATAGCGTAAAAGTTAACCCAATTTTGTATGCAGTTGGAACAGCGTCCCTAGCGGCAAACGTAGGCAAACGATCCGATTCTATACAAATATGAGCTAACTTTTACGCTATCGAGAACGTTGAAAAACTCGCACTAAGCACACAGGATGTTGCTATTAAAAACGATCCCCATTTATCGATTCTGCTCACCTAAATATAGAAAGATAACTCTTAACATTATAAATTGTGTAAAATTTCTTATCGCACAAACAGCTTCTGCCCACGGTCACACATGGGTGTGCGTAGTTTAAGACTTCAATAACATTAATACTGTGTGTGTGAAATTATGCGGTTTCTTATGAGTTCACCTAGAAAAAGCGAAGATGATCTGTCAACACAGAGCTCTTTGAGGTCAATGGATAGTTGTGAGTAAGTAAAGTATTTACGGTAGGTACAGTATATATATGTATGTTAAAAAACACAAGCACGTTAATTTATATTGTTTTATATCCGTAGATTTATTAGATAAAAATGTCACTTGTATAGCTTAACATATTATTATATCTACCTACTTAATGTTTAAAATTCATTCTTTATCGTTTAATTTGGTTTTATCAATTCTTCATAATGTGAAATATATAATATATTTCGAGGTCCTTTTACGCTTTTATCTCATATCCGCTAACCAGACGTGACAAGCAAAATCATAATTTGTTCATTTACTGAATTTATACTGATTTTGTAAATTATATTTTTTTTTATCTATTGTAGGTACCTACCTACTATGTTTTGTAAGTTCCTAATTTACCAATTTGTTGTTGTCTAATATTTATTCGATATTTTAGAACTTTATGCCATAATATTTAATTCAAACGTTATGAAGAAAGTGAAAATGTGCTTCCGAAGTCGTAAAGATTGTTGGTTGACCTGTAAAGGTCAGAAATATCTCACTTTTTGAGATTAAAAAAGTTTTATGAAACTTAGAACCAAGACTCAATCACATAAAGATCTTATTCGTTTATTTGCGTGAATCTTTCTTGTTACCTACGCGTGATTCTCTTACTCGGATTTTGTGTTTGGCTGTCGTATGTCTAGTGCTGATTGGAGAATCTTTAGTTCTCATCAGTCTACATTTATTCAGTCTACCTCCAAACATTTTACAACTTGCCGACTTCTTAGTATTTCATTTGAGATACAAGCAAATCTAAATTCAAATCAGTAACTTTATTAATATCATCAAAACATACTTTGTTGATTAGCAAAAAATGTTTACTCTACGCCCTGAGAAGAACCGGGGAATGAAATTTAGCTGCTAAATCTTTTTTTCTCCTACCTACGCCGAAAGTTCGGTTTTCGTCCCGCTGTACAGGGAAGAAAGTGTAACTTTTTCTCCCTGAGCACAAGTGCGCATGGGCGTTAGTGTCTACATCTGCTCTCACGCACTTATAATTCTCCGCCATTGTTGTGCTCGAGTAATTTGCAATATTGTGTTTAGTGTAAAAGTGAAATAAACAAAAGGCAATAAAATTTATCAATATTACAAAGATGAGTTCATCAGACAGTTCTTATTCAATTAGTGGTAGTTTATTTAAAAATAAAAAAACATTTAAATTGTTTTTTTTACCCTACCCCAGCCCTAAGCCAGGGCTTCGCCCCTAGACCCCGGCTCGGTACTCCACGAACTTTCGGCCTGGTAGGAGAAAAAATAGTATGTGCACCGCGGGAGAAAAGTTGGACATTTCCTCCCGCGTGTAAAACACGTTGCAACACAATTTAACTTTATAAATCACGGGTACTGCTCATCTGCAGAGTGTTACTCGATTCTTCATCGGCGGCATTGTGCCGTGCAAGTAATTTTTATCACAGCACTTTTTATCATAGCAGAACTCTGCAGAATACAAACTCTAACCGTTTGTTGTGTTTTGATTTGCATACAACGTGACGACCCCACTGCAGATTGTAAGCCACTGTATGTCGAGTATTGTCGATAAAAAAACAGTCAATAACATTTGCCGCTCATAACAATAATAATAGTTTTACATTCGACGAGAAGGAATACACAGTTTAAAAAAGTCCATGTATACAACAAACATGATACAATGGTGTATAATATATATAATATGTGATTTATATACCTACCTAATTAATAATATTAATTTAATATATTAAAGATAATAAGGTAAACAACAGACCGATGTCTTTGTTTGACTTGATTTATGGGGTAATTAAAGCTGTAATTTACAATATCTTTCTGTAGTGTGGCACATTGAACATGATGAAATATCAAAGATAGTTACTTTCGTTTAAATGACATTATGAAATAAATAAAATACAACTGACATATTTATAGGAGTGCTTAAAAAATGATGAATGAAAAATAGAAACAACCGGCCCGCCACCCGCCTTTAGTATTTTATGAGACCGTTGACTCGATGCGTCAACTGGTTTTTACTGTATTTAATAAAAGCATTGCACTACTTAGTCATTCCCGATCCTGCGGAAAGAATGGAAAGCAGTCGACGTCGCCCAAAACACGTCATCTCGGATCCTCCCGATCCACTAACGGTGCTTCTAGGTACTTCAAGCACCGGTCACCGTTCTCGTCGAACCCGTCGCTTGCGACGACGGGCTCGACGAGTAAATTAACTCTCAGACACAGCCCACTGAATTTCTCGCCGGATCTTCTCAGTGGGTCGCGTTTCCGATCCGGTGGTAGATTCTGCGAAGGACGGCTCTTGCTAGGGTTCGTGTTAGCAACGTCATCAGGTTTAAGCCCCGTGAGCTCACCTACTAGTTAGGGTTACGCTGGAATAGCCTCTCAAGGCTACCAGCTTAGGTAGGAAAAAAAAAGCACTACTTAGTAAATAATACATTAACTGAAGTTATTTAACAATCAATGATAAAATGGATTTAAGTATGTATACTAATATTAGATACTTATAAAAGCGAAAGTTTTTTCCGAATCTGAGTTGGCTTCGTAAAATTTCACAGAAAGTTAGTTTTTGTCCTATTTTAATGCTGTGTACATATTATTAAGCTATAGGTACAACAAATAAATATGACAATGTGTTCGATAATTCGTATTTTTACCTACAAACGGATCTGCTAATTGACCGGATGCTTATCTCGGGAAAATGAAAAGTGTTTTATTCTTTTTGAATTAAAAACAAAGGCGTGGGTGAAACCGCTGAGCACGTTTTTTGAATAATAAATTGGTTCTAACTTAATGTATCATCATATTTGTGCTTGTTTAATAAGTTGAGCAAAAATGTTAACAGTCTTAATGTAGGTAATTTATGTTCTTTCCAGTACATTTTTAATAAACGATGCTCTATGCTATTACCTAATAATTTATTTCGACACATGTTTGCCTGGAAGAGATAGTTCGAAGCGATAAGGATATTAAACATTTTTTAAGCCTTTACTTGTCCATGCCTTGTAGTTTTTCAATAGAATTTTATTACTGTGTCCCTAACTCTCTTTTTGATAGACATAGAGTTATAT